TGTTTATTTAGCCAGGAATGGTCAAGATAATTAAAGACTTTTCAAGTTGTAGATTTAAATTCCATTGAAGTTATTTTTTTGTGGGTACCTGCCTGTGTAGATTAAGTTAAAAATCTGGTCATAGTAAAAACAGGAATCCTGTAATGCCACTTCTAGCTATAGACTCAAAAGAATTCAAAGCAAGGACTTAAACAGATACTTGTACAACCATGTTCATAGCAGCATTTTTCACAATAGCTCAAAGGTGGAAACAACTCAACTGACACTTGACAGATAGATAAACAAAATGTGGTATATGCATACAATAAAATATTATTTAACTTTAAAAGGGAATGAAATTCTGATACATGCTACAACATGAATGTACATTGAAAGCATTATGCTAAGTAAAGTAAACCAGGCACAAAACACGTACTATATGATTCCACTTATATGAGGTCCCTATAATAGTCTACTTCATACAGACAGAAAGTAGAATGGTGTTTATCAGGGGCTGAGGAGTGGGAGAATGGGGCTCATTGAATGTGTTCAAAGTTTTGGTTTGAGAAGATGAACAAGTTCTGGAGATGGGGGATGGCGATGGTGGCACAACAATGTGAATGTTCTTAATGCATGATGGAAATGTGAATTGTCACTAGATTAAATGTAATGGAATCGGACCTACTACAAAATAACAGATGGTAAACTCAAAAAATAAAACGCGAATCCTGAATTATTTGGAGGGCTTTAGGCTGGGCCTCACCTATAGATATAATAGGTCTGAAATGGGACCCACGAATTTGCACTTCTAACAAATTCCCAGGTGTGCTAGTGATCTATTGCAGCATAACAAATTACCCCATGTTTTAGTGGCTTATAACAATGTATATATAATCTCAGAATTTCTGTGTTCAGGAGACTGAGATCAGCAGTCCTGGCCCAGGTTCTCTCATGAGGTGGCCATCAATATGTTGGCAGTGGCTGCCATCCTGTGAAGACCTGGCTGGAGGATCCACTTCCAACTCTCTCTTGTGGCTGTTAGCAAGAGGCTCTCATTCCTCACTAGGCAGACCTCTCCATCAGGCTGTCCCCTGACGTGACATCGGAGTTGCCCCAGAGTGGGTGCCTTGAGAGAGCACGCAGGGAGCCACAGTGCCTTTTGTGACTAGTATCCAAAGTTGTACACCATGACTTGCACTTTATTCGATTCTTCAGAGGCAGGTCATCAAATCCAGCTCACACTCAGGGGGCAGGGTTCCACTTCTTCAAGGAAGGCATATTAAAAAATGACGGACATTTAAAAACTAATACACTGGGTGTATTCCTGAAACTGCTGTATGAAAATCCAATAAACTGGGGGGCTTAAACACAGAAAATTATTGTCTCACAATTCTAGAGGCTGGAAGTCCAAGATGGAGGTATCAGTAGGGTTGGTTTCTCCTGAGGCCTTTGAGAGAGAATTTGTTCCAGATCTCTTTCACTGTTTCTGGTAGCCTCAGGTGGTTCACGGCTTGTAGATGGCCTGTGTCTTTACATTGTTTTCCCTCTGTACATGTCTGTCTCCATATCCGAATTTCCTTTTTTTTTTTTTTACAAGTATTGCTGTCAAATTAAATTAGGGCCCACCTTAATGACCTCATTTCAACCTGATTACCTCTTTAAAGACCCTATTTCCAAATCAAGTCACATTATGAGGTACTGGGGATCAGACTTCAACATCTTTTGGGGGACAAAATTAAAACAGGTAATGCTGATGTTCCTGCTGTGGGCATCAGGCTTTTGAGAATCACTGGTCTAACCCATCCCCACCCACCCCCCTATTACACTGATGAAATGTAGGTTTTCCATAAACTAAATGAACTACCAAATGTCAAGGAGTGCGTCTGTGCCAGGGCTCAGTTAAGCACTCTGATTTTTTGATCCACATTTAATGCACTTTCCATGAACCAGACAGTGTTTAGTCATCTTTGATCAAAAGCTCTCTGAAGATCTCACTTATCCGTGAAATCCATCAAGCCTTTGTGTTTTTTTCTAGGCTAAGGTTTTTCATATTAATCCACAAGGCTCTACAGTTAGAGATGCTTCCTAGGAATCCTTTAAAGATGTGTGTGTTTGTGTGTGTGTGTGTGTGTGTGTGTGTGTGTGTGTGTGTATTTTCTGGGGACTACATCATTCAGTATTTAAGCTATCTCACTGGGTAGGAAAAAAAGAGATAGTAGGGGATGAAGAGGTGATTATAAAGGAAAGACGTGAGGAAATGAGGCATGAAAACCATAGGAAAAAAATAACAATTGTACCAACTTACACTCCCGTCATAGCCTGCCACATCTTTCAATATGAGTCAGAGTGGATGGGAGATGAAAATCAACTCTTCCTGTTATATGCGTATGTATCTATTACATATGTTTAAACATTCAATAGTAAAAACATCCCTGGATATTTACCATCCTGTAGTTTGTGTTTATCATCCTCTTGCTTTTCTTTATTGTCTTCTAAATAGAAATAAGCCCTTAAACAATATCTTGTTTAGTTTCACTGGTTTTTGAGCTTTATGTAAATTGAATCATATTATATATGTATATGTGACTTTCTGTTTCTCCCCGCACCTTGTGAAACTCATCCATATTTATATGTGTAGTTGTGGTCCATTTATTTTCATTGTTTTATGGTGCTCTTATCCATCCACCATCCTCCTATCAATAGATAAGTTATTTTTGTTGTTACAAAAAGTATCTTATAATGTCCCCTTGTACACTGTACAAGAATGTCTGCAGGGTATATACCTAGAAATGTAATTGATGGGTTGTAGGGTGTGCTCACCTTAACTTTAGATAATTGATTAGTTGGTTGATTTCAGGAGGGCTGTACCAATGTACCCTCCTGCTAGCAGTATCTAACAGTTCTTGCTATCTCACATCTTAGCAACCAACACTTATTGTTAGTCCAACATTTTAACTCTCCCTATGTTTATCTCAACCAGCTGATTTTAGAACCAAACTCTCGCATTAGACATGACTCCATTATATTGGACTTTTGGGTTTTAATGATCCTGATAGCTAGGATGCTTGATGCCTATGCCATAATAGGTGGTCAGCATATGAGAGAAACATGAAATGAATCTAAGCTTTAGGTGTTTGGTAAAATTACAGATTTTTTTCATAGTTTAAATGTTTATCAGGACATTCCTTATTCTAGTCTTTCCTCCTCTCTCCAAATTATGTACCCAATGTCAATCTATAATGGTGTATTTGTTCCCAAACTCAAATGCCATACAGGAAATTTAGTACAGTCATCCAAGTGTTGCCCCTAGAAGTGGGAAATGTATTATATTTGCTTTAATGTAATATAGTAAAAGATTGTAACATGAATTTTACAGAAAAAAATAAAAGAATGAAACCTCCACAATCTCTAACTGAATTTCAGTATTTACTTAGTTCTTATATGCTCCAATATGTCACTTTTTTAAAAAAACGCTATACATTCTGCTTCTACATACCTATTTGATTGTTTTCTACTTGGTTAAATTTCCACAATTAAATAAAAAAAAATTTTTTACAATGTGTAGGAACTGCAGTTTAAAGACATCAATTTTAATAAGCTATAAAATTTGTTTCCCAAATGTTAGTTTATGGATCTCTGCCAATTTCTAATGAGTTTCACTAGCCTAAAAGGTAATAACAAAAAGAACAACAGATTTTCATACAACTAAATGCATTCCATTTAAAGGCCTGTGTTTTATTCTAAAATTATGTCATTTCTACGTTTTTAATGTTAAAATGTGTTTTAAGAAATGATGGTGATAATAGATAGCATTTATTTGCTTGACAACTTTGTGTGGCCTTAGATTTTGTGTGTGTGTGTGTGTGTGTGTGTGTGTGTGTGTGTGTGTGTTTTAATTTTACTGATCCTTCAAATCTTAATGTTTGGAAACCCTTTCAGAGCGGTTTACTACATCATTTAATATGTAGTTCGCGTAGAGCACCCTGGGAGTTACTGTTAGGAGGACAAAAGTCTCAGAAGGTAGAGCATACTCATCTCTATTTAACACGTATTTATTTTGTTCTGATTGGGTTTCAAGTAAGGCTTGGTACTAACACTACCGGGAATGACATGCAAAGATGAGTTAAGACAGCGTTTCGTTCTCACCGGTTTCCAGTTTAGCCTGTGAGCATTATACAGTTAAAAACGTGAGTGAGTGCCATGGAATCTGTGAGTGAGCGGTCTGGCAGTTGCTGGAGGACGGTAGAGACCCTGGACCCTGAAAAATGTGGCATGGTCAAGAGGGAAAAACCTATGCTAAGTAGGCAGGCAGACAGGAACCAAAGCTTGGAGTAAGTCCATTCTTGCATGAGAATGAGGAGCGTCTGTGTTGGAACGTGGTGAATACAGAATTGAGAGGGAGGTGCTGGCGGGCTGCGCAAGTTCCGCGGTTCAGGGATAGCTGGCTGAAGGTGCAGCAGTGGATATGAGAAGGAAGGGTTGGTTAAAGAGTCACGTGCAAGTCAGTACCAAGGAGACTTGGAGAGCAACTTAACTCAAGAAGAGCGTAAAAGGAAAGAAGCCAAGATGAATGATTCCCTCACTAACTCTCCAGCTCGTTTTCTCTGAGGGCTAGGGAGTGGATTGGCCACGCCCCGCGGACTCACGCACCCTATCAGCCTCCTCGGATCTCAGGACACGCCCCCTGTTTCGAAGGTCCCGTAAGAGCTTCTTCCCGACAACCTCGGGAACACGGCCCATCTGCGCCTGCGCAGTTTTTAGGCCCTGCCCCTCCGCATCCTGGCTCCCCCCCCCCCCAGCCAATATGGCGGCTCCCTGTGTGCCCTGCGGCACCAGAGTTTCCTACCGGCTTTTTCTCGGAGGAAGAGTTAGCCAGACCTGGAGACAAGGCCTTTGGAAAGGCGCAGCTGCTGAGTTGCAAACAGGCCCCCGGTCCCAGGTAAGGACTGGGAGAAGTGGAAGCGCTGGTCGCTGTAGCGCGATTATGTGGAGCCGGCGCCGCTACCTTCCCTTGGTGTTTTGGGTGCCCTCAGACGGGGTCCCTAGGGTCTTAGGTACTTAGTAGATAGATGTCTGAGGTTGAGAGAGAAGTGGGTATTGGTTTGCAGCGGCCACCCTGGAGATTGCTTATGGATTTCGCGGGATGCAGTGAAGGGGGTAAGTTACCTGCAGAAGGAACTAGAGCGACCCCTCCCTTGACTTGGCTGCCAAGCTAAGGAGAGTCCCGGCCTAGGTGTGATGCTGGGTCCCGTCCTTCCCGCTTGCCCAGAAGGCAGGAGGGCCGCGGCCATAGGAGGCGAAGGAGAACTGAACTCCTGCAGTGGCCTGGAAGACGTAATGGAGAAAGTCTTACAGTGGAGAGGTTAGATCGTGACTTTTTTCAAGTGCCTTGCATCTGTGCAGTTTCTGTTTTCTTAGTTTTCCTAGAACTTTGTCTGTGGAGAGATGGAGACCAGAATTTGTACATTTCATTTGACCCTAAGGGCAGTGGGAAGCTGCCTTCCCATATGGTTGAATGATGATGATGCCATTCACCGACATGGTATCTTAAAAGCTGGTACAGGTTTTAGAGGATGAAAACGAGTTTAGTTTTGTATTTTAGGCATCTGTGGGATGTACAAGTGGAGATTCCCCGTAGGCCCATAGATAGGCAAGTCTATAGTCAAGAAAAGAACTAACTGATTTACAAGTCCCCCCCACCTTACCTTGTAGATGGTAATTGAGGCCTTAAATATGAATTAGATCACCTAAGGAGGATGTACTGAATAAGGAATAAACAGAAAGACAGGGCTCTGAAGGACAAACCCGCCAAGGAAGAAGAGCCCCCACGAGATTGGGAATGAGTGGAAATAGGGAGAAAGCCAGACAGTGTGGTGTCATGGTAAACAGAAGAATGTTTCAAGGAGGGAAAGTGATAAACAGTACCAAACATTGTGAAGTCCAAAACTGTGGTCCAAAAACTATATTGAAAAAAGAATATTTTCTTTTCTCTGCCTTCTATCATTTATATTTTAACCTAAATCAACTAATTTATTTTTTATTGGAAAATATGTTGGAAGTTTTTATTTCTTCTTGCATCGCTCATTTAGTATATCTTTTAGTACACACAGTTATCTATAAAAGGGACTATAGCATACAATTTTTATTGTTGATACTTAATATATGTGCCTGTGGGGGGAGTTGCTAATTTTCTCTTTCTCCCTGGAATTCCTGAATCCATGTATCCTATGTCTTTCTCTATTCTTTTAGTTATATATAAACATACATGCATATGCATGCTTTAAAAAAATGGATCCCATTGGTTTTTTTTTTTGCTTTTCTAACTTACGTAAGTAATAGAAATCCCTCCAAGTCACCTATTATGTATCTAACTGCTGTGTAATACTCTGTGGTGTGAGGGTATCAAAGTTAATTTAACAATTGATAGGCATTTGCTTTGTTTCCATTTTCCTCCACTAATAAAGTGTTCAATAAATGTTCTAGTATAGTTCTTAGGTGCTTATGCTTTTATTTCTGTTGGAGAGAGTTCCAGTTGTGAAATTATTGCTGCAAAGGATGTGTACATCATAAATTTTAATAGCTATTTCCCTATAGCTTTCCAAAAAGGCTATAGCAATTCACATTTAATCATTGATGAATGAGGGTGCTCCTTTTCTACCTCCAATAGGTATTATTATTATTTTGTTTTCAATAAGATGGGTGAAAAATTTCTTCTTGTTACTTTAATTTTCATCTTCCTAACCACTATTGAAAGAAAACTACCCCCCACGCCCAATATGGCAAATGTTTACTGAGCTCTTTACTTGAGCTAGGTGCTGTGAAGTAAACAAATCATAGTCAAACAATTACCAGACGGTATCCACCCTTAGCACACTCAAGAGATGGGCCCGAGACACTGGGATTCCCAAATTCCTGAATACCACCACAGAACATGTTTTACCATGTGAAGTTCAGCTCATGGATAACTGAAAGACTTCACTGACCCCATCAGACCCTTAATGATTTTTTATATATGGCTAAAGACATTTGTAAAGCTTTTTTCTGGCACAGAGCTTGTGTGTCTTAAATATTAATGTTTCTTCACTTTCATCTCCAACTTTAATAGTGATATTTTTCTCAGGGGCCATGTTTCATAAAACAAAATTTTTAGTCATTTCATAAGTGGCTAAAACACTATACCTGGTTTTCTGTTGTTGTTTTTGTGGGGAGTCATAACCCATTAGTTATGAAATCCCTTCAAAGGTTACAGACACCTTAAAGAAGGGAGCAAGGAGATTAGAATAATAGTAATAAAGTGCATCTCATACAGGGTAAGTATTTTTACATGTCGTTTATATGTTTAAGCGTGTACTAGGTGGTGCTATAAACAGCTATTACTGTAGGTCACAGTGAGAAACACTGATGCAATAAGGGAAAAGAAACAAGTTTTGTTAAGTTAGGACTCCTCTGTGCTCAATTGGGACCCTCACTAACAGATTGCCTCTGGCATGCCAGTCTTGTGGCACATGGTTCATATTAATGCCGCAATACAATTGCAGATATCCAAGTGTCCCAAATTTGGGGTGGAAGAGGGAATCTTACTCGTGAATAGCCAGACTTTTCAGATTATAAACCCATGAATATCCGGGATCTGCATACAGTGTCCTGTGAGATTTGCGAGCTAAATACAGAAGAGCACAGAAGTGCGATGCTTAATTCAAACGAGTTAAGTGGGTAGAGTGGTGGGCAGCTTCTCAGAGAAGGTGAGCGTAGAATCTTTTAGGAACAATTAGGAGTTATATGAAAAAAGAGAGGTATTCTGTTCTAGGAAGATGTAATAGGCACACAGGGACAGAGATGTACAGAGTCAGTAGATTCTGGTAACAACAAATAATTGGTTATAGCAATTATAATTGGTATAATAATTGGTGAGAAAATGGTGAGAGACAGGATTGGAAAATTTGACAAGGTCCAGAATATGGTCTGTTTTGCTATCTATGCTAAGGTACTTGAATTGTATCGTCACAAATTATATTATTATATAATTATAAGCAGTTTATAGTCATGGTATACTGCAAAGGTTATCCATGAATCCTTAATCCTCTATCAATATAATTTAATGTAGGAATGCTAATTTAGCTTTCTATAATATTTCTGAATTTTATAATAAGGAAAATCATTAGACCAATTTCTATTTTGAAAAATATTGCTATAAGATATAGGTAATACATTCTGTTAATTTTATTTTCTATTAAGTATGTAAGCCCTTGTTGAATTGGACTGTCTACCGGAGAAAAATGATTGATGATATTTGGCTCTTACATATTTTGTTTTGTTTTTGTAAAAACACTGCTGTGTTTGTCTTAAGTATTTGTTCTCATCTTATGGGCTCCTGGAGGTTAGAATGCCTTATATTTATCACAATATCCAGTTGGTTTCCAGTAGTGTCTTAATAAACTGTAAAAAAACTCTTTGAAAAACAAATATAAAAATTGACTTGCATTTGTATTAGATGCTTTATACAGCTCTGTAAATTACTTATGTTTTCCTCCAGATAATTTTTCAATTTTTAAAAAATCCCAGTTTATTAGCAATAGAAAAGAAAACCCCTTTGGTAGGATAAGTTGTTCCCTTTGATATCTCATTCTGTCCTTTTAAGGATAAATTTAGTGTGTTCCTCATTGCTTTAATTATGGAAAATACCAGGACATTACAGTTTGCAGTTTTGTTATGTAGCAGTTTACCAATTTCTTATTTAAAGAGAGCTTAATAATAGATGTTACCATCATTCCCACCTCTCTTTTCTTTATAAAATAAGGTAAGTAAAGTTTCTTGAACTGTGCTTCATTGTTGTAATTAGGATGATGAACTAATTAGCTATTTATTGCTACATAACAAATTATCCCCAAATTTAGCAGCTTGAAACAGCAGATATTTGTTATGTCATGGTGTCTGTGGGTCAGATTCTAGGCACAGCTTAGCTGGGTCTTCTGTTCTGGGTCTCCCATAAGGCAGTAGTGCAGGTGTTGGCTGTGGCAGCAGCCATCTCCAGCCTGGAGGCTGGACATCTGTTTCCCAGCTCACTCAGTGTGGGTGTTTGCAGCATTCATGTCCTGGCAGGCTATGGGGCCAGCCATTGCCATAGCTCTTGCCACATGGGCCTCTGTAGGGCAGCCCACCACATCTGGCTTCCATCGGGCTGGTCAAGACGGGGTGGAAAAGAGGGAAGACAGAGTCTTTCTGTAACCTAATCTCAGAAGTGACATTCTGTCACTTTAGTAGTAGTCTTTTCTTCAGAATCAAGTCACTAGGGCTGTCCAGCCCATACTCTGGGGAAGGGGGTTGCACAGCAGCATGAACACCGGGCGGAAGAATCACTGGGCGCCATATTGGCAACTGCCTCCAACAGCGAAAGACCAACAGATGCTTTTGTTATTATCTAAATGTCTCATACATTTAGGTCTTTCCCCAATACTTGGTTTGTAAACCTCTTAAGAAAAGTAACATAACCTGTATATCCCCACTCTTACCTAGCACAAGTGCTACAGATATCTCCTAGAAGCTCACGGATTGTTTCTTGAATGAAACGTGAAGAGTTCGTTTTTATGTATAGAGAGAGGTATGTGGGTGCACATGTGTGTGTATGCACATCTATGTACATATGAACACCTGCTACATTACTTTTTGCCAAATCGGATTAGTAACTTAAAAAAGAAAACTTCCTCTTTACCATGTCTTGTGTTTCTTTATCTCACCATACCAACATTTTCATTTTAACACCACTTGATTTTCCTTTACATTTATTTCTGTTAAAATTTAATACATAGCCTGGCCCATAGTAGTTGCTCAAATTTGTTAAATGCACTTGTAAAATATTTTACTTTTTAGAATTTTATTATGAAAAATAAAGCTTATTCAAGCATATACAAAAATAGAATAATATAATGAGCCCCATGGATA